AATGTAATGCTCGTGTCACATTACGCATTGAAGATTGAAGATTGAGAATTAAAGATTATTCAACCAATTAAAATAAAAAACGGATTAAAATTAAAATTATCTTGATCGAATTCTAATCTTTAATTTATAATCCTTAATCTTTCCAATGTGTAGTGTGATACGAACATAACGCCGACATGGACATATCAAATTTTAAAGTAATTTGCTATCGGCGCTATTGTGCCTCTCTCTCTCTCTCTCTCTCTCTCTCTCTCTCTCTCTCTCTCTCTCTTTCTCTCTTTCACTCACTCTATCATTATCATTTATCAGAAATAAAACAAGGATAAAATAGCGTTAGGAGCATATTTTCCAAACCCTGGATAAACAATCATGTGTAAATAAATGAAGTACTTGAATTATGCGATATTCGCAATAGGAGATAAAAGAATATGTATGCACATGCATGCGTGCACATTATCGTTTATTCTAATAAAAAAAAAAATATTGGAAGCTGCACGTATGCCAGGTTATCCATCAATAGGCGAACATGGAAATATTTCAGTCGCGTGCAGTTTTTGTTTATACTGCTCGATGCAAATTTTAGAACTGTTCGTATGGTTGTTTTGTTTTCTTGAGAATGTAAGGTATCAATATTTATTGCAACGATCGAATTTTTCCAGTTTCACGAAATTTGTACAGTTAACTCACTTTACTTTCATAACTTTGTGTAAGATTCTAGGATAGAATTTTTTTTCTAATTTTATATGTGATACATTTTAATATTTTATGTGTCGCGTATTTCAATTCTTTGAAAAATGAAACGTTTTTTTGTATTACATAACACAAAATTATGAACAGAATTTTAACATAGTGTTACTTTAATTCTATTTTAGAAAATAGAAATTTTAACTAATAAATGATAGAAGATCTAAACTTTAAAGCTTTAAACTCTTTAAAGAAATACGAAGAAACAAAAAATTGAATTATTAAAATGAAAAACTTTGTAATATTTATATATGCATATATTTAAGGCTATCAGTTTAACAACTTAATGTTTTTGCGATCGCTTTCATTATCAATGAAAATCGTAAAGATAAAATGTTGTAAAAATCGATTATATTATTGAAAAGCTCAAATCATTGTTAATCTTTTTTTAGGATCTAAGATATTTTAAACGTAAAACGATAATAATACAGGTTAATTATAGCTAATTAGCACTGTCTGTATTGCTGCGATTAAAATATTTTAATCGGATTAATGCGTTGGTTCAACATTAATTTTCTTTCGGATTCTCCAGCTTTGGTGGTTATCTAATCTGTTTTTTACAACATTATATTTTTTTACTTTTATTTAACTTTTATGTCTCGTAAATAAGTTTATTACGCGATAGCGTTCCGGATGTACTTATTTGATCTATGAATAAATCTATTTTGCAGATAAACGTTGGACGTTGGAATGCACAATAGAATCAACGTGACCTCTCAACCACGATAAGCGTTCATGTTGAACGTTTCGAAGCATTAAAATGTGAATCACGCGTAATTGTCGAAGTGTGCGATTTTTTATCTGATTATACAAGCTCGAAAGTATTTTTTAAAGTGAATAATCGAGACAAGAAAATGAGAAGCGATATTGTAAAATAATGCAGAATTTAAATTAAATCAAAGTTTCTCTAGATTTCCTTTAAAATAAAAAAATAAATACTTTTTTATTCACCATTGTCTTTCTTGTTGAACTATTCTCGTAAGCTATTCGTTGATTTATCATTCATCGTTGTTCGATTGTCGATTTTAATTTTCAATTACATGTTTGCATTGAAGACGAACAACTTCGATCGACAGAAAAAGCATTATCGAAGACATAAGAAAAAAATAAGTGCCAAGATGATGAAGCGAGAACTTGCTTTATTTATTAAGTACAAAGACAACCGAGTGTCATCGGCATTTTTAAATTTTGAAAAGGAGCACATCAGAATTTTTAATTAATG